ATAAATATGTAACTAACTGCACAAGTTTAAGGTTATGATTCTTAAACGTAGCTTATCACTGTAAAATGGTAATAGTAAGTAGTAAACGTCGTCTTAATTTTGACCTTTAGCTCTACCGCTATTTTGTACTTTACGGCCGCCATTTTGGTTGTATAAAAACAAAACCAAGATGAATTGAAAGACAACTCGTTGATTAAAATCCAACCAACCGTTTAGATGCCTCGAGAATATAAAAAAACTCACATACATATCCAGATATGCGTGAAAAGCCTGTATTTAGAGTAGAATAAAATATTATATATATAAGAAATAAATATACATAGAATACCAGTATGAAATGAGTTTGTATGTGTATATGTAAGTACCCTTTTTACCTGGTTACAAGGTATTCCATTTTAGTCCTCAGATTAATTCTGTCATTGTTAAGATGTTTCAGTATTTTTAAAAATCTTACGACAATAGAAATAATGTTACACATATAATATCTCGAATTTATTTATTTTCATTTAATTAAAGTTAAAAGTTAAAGTTACAGTCTATATACGTCCCACAGCTTGGCACAGACCTCCTTCTTATTTCTGAAAGGGGCAAGGAATTGTCAGTCGCGGCGGCGCCGCAATGCGTGTTGGCGAACTTCACGTGTCTTCGAATTATCTTTTTATTTCTCAGACACTTTTCCCACGATGTTTTTCTTCACCGACGAGCACGTGGTAAATCAGCACTTAAAATTGCAATTAACAATTTTATTGGTGCCTGAGTTATGAGAGCGCGATCCTTCCCCCTGTCAAGCCGACCCATTCGTGATACAACTATATTACTAATATAGCTAAAGCATTGCTCTACCACGTACCATCATACGAAAGATGTTAAAAATTAATAAGCTGAGATCCAGACGTGTCGTTTCCAAGTTTAAAGAACACCCCCACTCCCGTTGACCCCCAATTACGTACACTATACCCGTCACCACTAATCTACCACTACTCCTAACACCACTACACTGGAAAGACTCTACCGTCGTTAATACGACACGTATTTTACCTCTAAACGAGGCGTCATCAGATGAAATTGACGCGCAGTCTACTTCTAAATATTATAAATATTATTAGCAGGATCTTAGGTAACAAATTTTAACATCTATAATTCTATCCTGTGCTGAACAACTATGAGAAATGATAAAAAAACTTTGATGGCTTCCGAAAGGTGGCGTTATAAGCATCTCGTTTACATCAGCCGTAACATACTCAGACCATAACATACCTACTGTGATATTGAATCCAGCTGCCGCGACACGATCAAAGTACATACACACTACAATGGAAGACTTTCATGTCCAGCAGTGTACACTATTTTGATACAATGTGCTGATGATGAACATGACTAAATATGATGAAAAAGAGGCACAAAGTTAGCACTATTCGAATAGTGTATTCTCACGTTAACCACTCCGTCAAATCTTAAAATGCTTGTGCTGTCGAATGTTGGACTCAGATTGATGACTTTTTAGTTCTGTATCCTTAACCATTTGGGCTACTGTCGCTTAAATATATTACATACGTAAACTCCCTCATATATCACCCGTAGGGTAAGCAGAGACTACGGATTTCTATTTAACACGATCCTGACCCATCTCTCTCACCTCCCTTACATTTATATATCTACGTTCGTTGGTTAGGGGTACTCTTAATATGGCCCATCTTCAATAAATTGTCAATGTTGTTTATGGAATAAGAGTAACAACGAGCACACCTGATGATAAATAGATACTGTGACCCATAGATATCTACATTTTTCCTCGATTAACAAACAAAATGTATATGCGTTGTCACTCCTGAGGACTAAGATGGAATACCCCATTTCCAGTTAAACGTGTCGCTACACTCAATATACGAAACAGCAGCATAAAGCAGCAGCTTTTTGCTTTATGTGCCAAAATACCAGCGCAAAATAGCAATTTTACGCTCGTATTTTGTAAAAGCGTGGTTCAACCTTGGTCGAGACGACCCATTCGAGCCAATTTGGTCGATAAACCACCAAAACACAAGACTACGTATTAAGGATATTCAACGTATTAGAAATGTTCATGACACAGCACTTTGCCTAACACAGTGAACGTCGCACCCATCGACCCGCGAGTAATAGCCTCGACTATGTATAATACCTCGTTGGCAATTTTTGCGGCTTCGCTCGAAGCCCCACAAAGCTCCGCTTATTTTGGTACGGTAACATACTTACCTACAACATCCTTGTCCGAGCTCGTTACAAAACATTGAACGGTTTATGGTGCTCCATTTCGCTTTAGTAACTTTATTATTCATAAACGAAACAGTTTATAGTACGCACATAAAAAAAGTCATTAACATAGCCTTCTTTGCATTGGGAAATGTCTACATGTACCCTTCTGGATGAGAACGGGTGTCAATTCGATTTATTTGCTATTCGTATTGAATACATTTGGTCTTAAATATAAAAAAATAGTCAAACAATTATATATATATATATATATATATTATTACATATACATATTATAGTATAATATATAAAATTATTACAATTATTGTTAGTGGTTCTTAAATTACTTGGTACTTAAGATCATAAGAAAACATACTATTTATTACGATTTCCTACTTAATCACTAAAAAACTGCAAAGAGTATTAATATTTTTAGTTAAATATATACATCATTCCTTTTTGAACATTCTTGTTTCTGATATATTATGGAATTTTATTATATATTCTGGATAATTTTTTAACGTCTGAAAAAATAAGGTGTCACAGATGAGCCGAATCGAAGCCTATGGCACTGATATTTTAATTTTTTTTATTATACATTAACATATTATGAAATTGATCTATATATCAATAAATACTATTAATTGGGTACGTATTATTTTAATTTCGGTAGTTTGTAATTGATTTATATATTCTGGATAATTTTTTAACGTCTGAAAAAATAAGGTGTCACAGATGAGCCGAATCGAAGCCTATGGCACTGATATTTTAATTTTTTTTATTATACATTAACATATTATGAAATTGATCTATATATCAATAAATACTATTAATTGGGTACGTATTATTTTAATTTCGGTAGTTCGTAATTGATTTATTTATTTAGTTCAAAAATGTTATCGTTATTTATTTAGCTCCGAAAGTTTATTTCAAATTAATAGTATTTATTGATAGATCTATTTCATAGTATGTTAATGTAAAATAAAAAATTGTAAAATATCAGTGTCATAAGCTTCTATCCAATTCACATGTGACACCCTACTTTTTTCCAGACGGTAAAGAAATCACCAAATATATTATATAGGGTTATGTCGGACTCGCATCGACTTAGACCTCATGGGATTCCACCTTTGTCGCATATTGGCGGTACCACGGGCCTAACCTGGCCTTATCATAGAGCTATCTTAATTCGCAATAGAAAACTTCACATTTAAAAAAGTGACAAAGTAACATACAATCCACCTGATGGTGTCCAGATGAAAACGCAGTCCATGGGCACCTGCAGCTAACTTCTAAAAAATAACAACATATGCACTGTCACATGTGAGGACTAGGATGGAATTATTCACGGCTTTATTATAATAGCTCCCTATATACCCTTAATACCGTCGGTAGTGTGCACGCACTACTGTTTGGCAACTGAAATAGGTAAAATAGATGCAGGAAGGCTGTTATTCAGGCAGACTCCCAGGCATATGCGTAGTCCTAGCACAAAGTTGTTCAAATGTTCTCAAAAAAGTTTATTACTGCTCTAAGTTTTCTCACAATCTTTTGCTTCGCCACAAAACACGTGTTAATCGGCACTTAACTGTAATTAACAATTGCTGATCAGAGACTATCGGTCCGTGGGGTCAGTCATGTAGTCAGTATCAGTCAGTCATGACTACTGGTGATAAGAAGGCTGGTTATTTTCTTGCTCAAAAGCTACTTACAGTCATTTAGCGAGGAAATGCAGCCAGCGTCCCTGGCACGATACCACTGGGAGTATGATAGTTTAAGTTTTTAGTTTTAATTTTTTTACTATATTTTCTTTTTTAATTTTTTACATATTTCAATTTCATGTTAATAAATGAAAGAAATAACAATTTTTTGTCGCTTGAGCTACACGGTCCATATGTACTTAAAATTAAAAAATAGAGCACTAAAGAACATTTATAAAGGCATTACCAAATATCGTTAATGAATTCTACGTAAGCTAATAATGCCAACCGCAATGTAAGCTTTCATTATTTAAGTTATTTTCTACGCTATTAAGTACTGATTACGACGAAGCCGAACATGACATAGTAATCTATATGATGAAATTATTAAAATCTGACTAACAGCATGATCAAGTTATTGGTATTCTTAAAGTAAAATTGTGAACATTTTGCAAATTTTCTAGCAAAGTAAATAAGTAAAGTATGGAAAAAATAGGTTTATAGTTTGTTTGGATCGAGCTAATCACAGAATATTAAAAATAAAACCTAAAATTATAAAAGTGAGGTATTGCTAACTTTCGCTTAGATTTTAAAACCGGCATTAACGAAATAATTAAAAAATAGTAATTAGTAACCGCATTTTTTTTTTCTTAAAATCTAAATCATCTCATTCAAGCTTTTTTTTAATTTTTATTCAAGTGATATTTAACTGAAGTTATAAAAGTTTGATAATGCTTACTACGCGTTTACGAATTGTATTTAGATTTTAAAATGTGTATCAACTAATTAATAACCGCATTTTATCTTAATATTTCGCAATTAAGTTTTTATTTTATGATTAACTTAGACTTCAAAGTTGTCAGAGAAATTTAAGTTAATCTTATTTTGGTATTTTTAAGATTTTATCCATGTTTATTAAAGCTAAGAAAAATAAACTGATAAACTGTTGTAAATTAATAAATTACTGCTATACAAACATATTACCTTACAGTGTAAAATTTTCCAGTCATAAATGAATAAATAAATTACTATTCCAAAAGTAAGTCAATAATTTTAAAACAATAAAGTTACTCACTCTGTTTCGTTGTTCTCGAAAATGATGAACCCCTGTGCTGCCTCATACTGGGCGCCGCTCTTGGCCGTCCCGTCTTCCGTCCAGTAGGGCACCTTCACCTTGCCCCTGGCGCCAGCTGTACGAACCACACGTAGATCGTACGTCCCTACCGACTCGGTCAGTTCGAAGTCCCTCTGGGGGAAAGAGAACACACCGGAATGATCGTCATCTAAAATCACCACAGTTGCAGTCGAAGGAGACGCCAAGCATGCCCCCTTCGGTGAGCTCAGACGCAGAAAAAAGTGCTCATCTTCTTCAAAGACGTCGTCATCAATGACTTCAACACTGAATGTTTTTTCGGACTCACCGTGCCCGAATATTAAAACGCCTTGAGCCGCGATATAATCAGACCCAGCTTCTGCGGTTCCGTCTTCTGTCGTATATCGTACAGTTACCTCACCAGCTAAATCACCACGTCGGATGACTCTCGCCTCGAATGATCCACAGTTCTCCATAACCGTGTAGTGATCTGGATCAAACCGCACGTTCGGCCCTTTCGGTTCTGGTGATACAGAAGCTGATTCTCGACGCTGTATTTCTGCTTTAACTTCACTGAGGTCGCTTTGAGCTCTTTCAGATATCTTGCGAGAGAAATCGCCGCCGCCTGTCATTTTGCGAGTTGCTGCCACTCTGTAAAAGGCTCTAGACTTTGGCCCGCGGGACATCAAAGTCTCCAACGCCATTCGTTCTACAGTTTCTAGGTCTTCGTCCGGGTGCTGTCTTCTCAATTCGCGGAGAACGGAAATGTATTCTCTACGAGACTTATCTAATTCGCGACCTTCTTCATCGTCAGTGGCAAAGTCATCACCAGGCTTTAAGGCCATTTCTACCGACCCATCGCCTTCTACCTCTACTATGACACCTCTTTCATTAACCCTATAACCTTTTTTGAGATATTTGTAAACTAAAAGGCGTCTGTCTGCTATATATGCCGTTAGGACTGTAGCAGGAAAGAATAGGAATGTCACAGCGCCCTCCCACACTTCGACTTCACTAGGAGAAGTTACAGCTAGAATAAGGTAGAGCCACACATAAGCAAAGATAGACCAAGTAGCGGTCACCAGAAACACCCTCAGGTGCTTTATTTTACGCACCTCCCCATCGGGAATTACCATTACACAAATAGCTATAATGACGAACAAGTTGTACGCGGCGGAGCCAACGATAGTCCCAGGTCCCAAGTCACCTGCCTCAAAATTCTTGCCGGCGATCTCTATTACGGAGAGCAGGATTTCAGGTGCGCTCGAGCCTAGTGCCATTAGCGTCAAATTCGCAACGGTTTCATTCCAAACTCGCACAACGATAATCTGCTCGCTGCCGTTCCGTCGCACGCGCACCTCCTTCTCCCTAGACGTAATAACTTCTATCGCGGCCATGAATCGATCGGAGACGATAGAGACGCCTATGAAGAGGTAGAGGAGCGCGAAGAAGTAAACCAGTCCACGGAGGGCGATGTCGAGGGTCGGGACGTCGTCGAGGGGTTGCCAAGCGGGCAGCATCAACCCATCAGAGCAGTGCAGCGTCCGCGCAGGGGTGTAATTGCGCGGTGCGAGACGTTCGGGCGGGAGGGCGCGGGCTCCCCCACTGCAGGCCACCACGAGCGCGGCGATCGCGCGCATCTCGCTCCCGAGCCGACCGCCGCCGCCCGCAGCCAGCGTCCGACTGCGCCCGGCACCCGCACTCCGCTCCCCAGCTTCCTCACCCCACAATCTCCTCACCCCCAACGCCGCCCTATTCTCGCGTTTCTCCACCGCGACCGCGAATGCAAACTTAGTTTCACTTAGTTTATACGTGGTAACACGCTAATGCTATAATACGTTTGTAGCCATTTGAATTAATATGAACTATTTACGCACAAAATCTGTACGGCTGTGCAGAGCTTTTTATGGCACAGAAAGTAAGTTTGAGGCCGCGGGCTCGTACGCTTATTGCAAACAATCAATCTTGTCGAATCTTCTAGTACATACATCCTCAACCAACCAACCCATTCTCACGTGTTGTGCATTATATTACTTACACGTGTTACAACTATGTTGCAGTCATAATATGGTTGTATCACGAATTTCGGCTCGACTGGGGCAGGACCACGCTCTCGTAGAATACAATGTGAAATAGCAGCTTAACACGTGTTTCATATGATGTGTGTAAATAACCGGAGACTCTTGTTACTAGATACGAGGCATTCCATTTCAGTCCTCAGGGGTGACAACGCATCTGCATTTTGATTCTTAATCGAGGATAAATTTTAATGTGTATGAGCCACAGCGTCCACTTACCACCAGGTGGACTGTGTACTCGTTTGTCACCTTTATTCGATAATATATGGCAATCATTTACCAATATTGTAGGTTCCTGTTCTTATGGAACTTTACGTATATGTACGTACACATATGCTTTTCGTATACGTACACGCCGTCCAATTTTTTGATGTAAATCGGGTGCAGACACGCGACCTTAACTCGTTTAATTAATCACCCTTACCTCTACAATACACGACAATCAATTTGTAAATGCCAATCGATTTGTAAACACTGCTTAACGAGATATTTTCAAACACGATGCGTAATTTAATTATTGTAATGCTAATTTATACTTATTATATGCTTAAAGTTTAAGTTTTTAAATAATAAGAGTGACAAACTAGCACACCGTCCACCTAATTACACATCTTAAAATAGCAGGATACTGAACACATCATTAGCCCTAACAAGAACCGTGGTAGCTCAGATGGTTAGCGCTCGCTGTAAATTTCACAGTACGCGAGCAAACCGGGTTCGATGCCCACCGGCACCAATGAAATTGTTGCAAATTTAAACGCTGATTGACCACGTGTTCGGTGGTGTATGACAACATCGTGAGGAAACCTGCATGTTTGAGAAATAATAAAAAAAATATTTCGAAGACATTGAAGTTCTACAACACGCATTGGGGCAGCTCGGCGGGAAATTCCTTCCTATAGGCTGTAACTTTAACTTTAACTTTACTTTAACGCCGGTATTCTGTGAGAGCATAGTCCTTCCCCTCACAAGCCGAACCATGCGTGCTACAGCCGTATAAAACATCGTGGTTCTACTAAAATAAATTACTACTAAAAATAAGTTTTTCATCGTCAATACTAAAATAACTAGTTAATTTGATTTCTTGTAACGCTTTTTGCTGTTTTTTTAGTAAAAAATATATTAGGAAATTTTTGTAAGTAGTTTCACACTCACTTAGGTATAAACAATTAAAGTAATAATCTATATAAACTTCATTGCTTGCGAGCAGAGAAATGTCATAATTTTTTTTAAGGTGATCCTCGAAAATTTGTTGGTTTTTCTATTTCACATATTTTTTTAAGTTTTATAGATTACAAACCAAAATTTTGGTCTATGACGTTGACCTTAGATTTGATAAAAGGAAAACACGATTTCATGTAACTTACTCGACAGAAAAAAATTGCAAAGTAGGCTCTAATTAGTTACATTTCTCCATGATACCACAATATTTTTACGAATAAGTTCATGGAATTATTTTAAGGCATATTAAATACTCATATCTAAGTTCTCATCAACCACTTTTTTAATCCATTAAGTAGTTTTGTCAAAAAAATAAAAACGTTGTTTGGCACTTACTTCATATCTCATAATTTGCGTATTATGAAGTCATTGCATTACTTTCATTTTGACACTCCCGCAGTCGTCTGTGAGTTTCACCGACAAAGGAATAAACCACGCCCCCAAAACTACGATTCATTTTCAAGGTATCCTATTAATCTTACCTCTATTACACTAGAACTTTCTCCTGTATTATATATATAAATTTCACAAGGACAAATAACCAGATCCGAAACAATTATTTGTAGGCTATATAAGTACTTGTTCTATGCGCGATTCGAACCCGCGCGTTATTAGCGCTGTACTCATTGCTAAGCCACTGCGAGACGGAGCCGTCACTTTATTATTAGATAACAGTATATCAACATAATTACAATAAACAACACCCTTATTGAATCCCGTGCGTGTCCTAAGAGGTGACTTAGAGATAGATTATATAATAACTTTGTGGTCTCGTATGACGGCATATGGATCTGAGGTATTTCACTACTGGCCAGGAAGCTCAAGGTCGTTCAACAAGCTTTGTAGAGGGCTATGCTCGGTTTCTTCCTATGTGGGAGACTTAGAAATGAGAGTATCTGCAACAAAACTAGAGTAGCCGGTGGACTACCACCGGATCAGTAAGTTAAGTATAAGTTATATATAGCTCGAAGAACCGACAACCGATGGAAAAGAAAAGTTCTCGAGTGGCAGCCTCGTACCAGTGAGCAAAGTGTGAGGCGATCCCCCTACTAGATTAAGTGACGACCTGGTAGAGACACAGAAAGTCGATGGATGAATTTGGTTTAGACCGTGCTGCGCTATGGAGGACTATGTTCAGCAGTGGACTTGTAAAAACCTGTAATAATGATGATAATTACGAAGATTATCAAAGGTACTTAGCGTTTCGATTACAATATAAGAGGTCTAAGCAATAATCTGTTAAGAGCTGATGCAGGCTGAAAATGATGAAAATAATATACGGCTCCAAGGCGCAGTGGCTTAACTAGATTTGCGACGTTAAGGGCCGCGGATTCGGATCCAGCACGGAACAAGTATTTGTATGGCCTACAAATATTTGTTTTGGTGGATAGTTTCTTTGTGCAATTTATGTTTGTAAACTGCCTCCACGTTATAGAAGAAAATCCACGTGTAGTAGTCAATTCAAAAAAATTAAGAAAAAAGCCAGGTGTTAGAGTTCCACCTGATGAAAATTGCACAAATAGCCCCTGATAGTAAAACGCTGCTCAGATAGCCAAGAAGCTATTTTTGTTGTTTTTCCCCATCGTACGCAGAGACACTCACTGTAAACGTAAACAAATCCGAAGTATACAAATAAATATACGTTAAGCTTGGGGGAAACATGTTGAAGTATTTTTAATGTTAGTGCTCGTTAAAATTAAAAGCGATAAAATCACTTACATTAGTTTTGTTTTGTGTTTTTTATTAGCTTTCGTGTCTGTATGTTTGGGTTGCATATAATAATTGATTGTAAACTAACTTCCCCATGAGCTTAGCGACTTGATATTTTGAACATAGCACTGAGTAGGATAACAATGTGAGAATATGGATAAATAAACGTGATAAACAAACATGCAGTCCAACTGATGGTAAGTGGATACTGTGACCCATAGATATCTACAATTATCCTCGGTTAGTAATCAGTATGAAAATGCGTTTCTACGCCTGAGGACTAATATGAAATGCCTCGTATCCAGTAAAAAGGTTCTCCGGTTCTGTGCACTCACCATAGGTACGCCCTCTCCCGGTCGGCTTCACCAATTCGTGCTACAACCATAATTTAGCTGCAGCAGTGCGCTACCACGTACACAAGTGGTAAAAATCAAAAGAAGTTTCTTTTGAAAATCTAGTTTTTAATTTCATACATAACCCCTTAATGAAAAAATATTTATCAAGCACTTTTAAAATGTAATTTTATTGTATTATATTGCGATTAAATTTAACCCTTTTCTTTTCAATCACAAACTTCAGAGTTCTTTACAGCACCTGACATTTTCTGCTATATTGTGGGAGCAGCTTACATACATGAATTCCAACCCCAATATATATATATATATATATATATATATATATATATATATATATATATATATATATATATATATATAGCCTGTCAGGCCTTTTCGACGACCTTTTGTCATATCCTATTCAAAAATCCATAAATTGGCAAAAAAAATTGTGGGTCACTCATAGGCAAAAAAACTACCCTATCTCTCAAGTTGGACCAAACCGCATACAGTGTGCAAATTTGATTAAAATCGGTTGAGTAATTTAGAAGTCCATCGCGGACAAACAACGTGACACGTAATTTATATATATTAAGAATATATATATATATAGGTTATACAAAAGCCTGTTCCGTGCGGGATTCGAATCCATGTCCTCAACGCTGCAACTCATTGCGAAACCACTGTCAACTGTCAACAAATGTCACAAATTCAGAATTAGTTAAAATTCAACGCATTAAAATGTAAAAAATTAGTTTCATTGGAAGCCCTTTCTTAATAACATAAAAAGTTATGTGCATAACGCACAAGCCATTAACGAGGCTGTTTTTGCTTAAAAAATAAAAATATATGTTTCAATACTTTTTTTATTTACTAAGATTAACAACGATTGATTTGATAATTACATCTTTAAAGAAAATTTACATTAGAATTATTTCCAAATGTACAACTACTTAAAGGTAATCACAGTTATATATTTAGTACTATTAACTTAACCTAAATAATCCTCATGAAGAATCCTATAATGTTTTGGAATTGCTGGGTACAAGCCTCCACATGAGGGGTAATGCAACAGTAACATTGTTTTTTTTTTCTTTATTTCATTATAGACTCGTACGATTATATTTTTACCAGTATCAAGTAATGGATAAAAATATACATATTACTATATTACAAAAACTTGTTCACAATTTATAGATGCGTCACATTGAAAAGATCTTGGGAGATTTTGACAATAAACCAACCCAACGGATAATCGATGACGACAGTATCTCAAGTTTTGAAGGCACCTAAGCGGATAAAATAACTTTAGGCTTATATCAAAATAGAAGCTCTTTTTTATCATTTCCTAATAGTCCACATACGTAGACCCTTAATATACAAAATAATATCACTTTTAAG